AAACCAATTCAGATGCATGATGGTGTCATTACCTCTCTTTCAGTCAAAAAACGATACTGAAGACGAGGAGGTGGAGATCGCCACATGCTCTCGAGGACAGTACTTTGGGGAGTTGGCGCTCGTCACCAACAAACCACGGGCGGCTTCTGCGTATGCCATGGACAGCGTCAAATGCTTAGGTAATGAAGTATAATTATACATTCAATGGTCACTTTATAAGGTACACCTGCTCAACTGCTCGTCAATGCAAAGATCGGCCAATCACATGGCAGCAACTTAAAGGAGTAGTTCACTTTTGAGAAAACTTTTGCTGATAATTTACTCGCCCCCGTGTCATCCAAGATGTCCATGTCTTTCTTTCTTCAGTCGAAAAGAAATTAAGGTTTTTGATGAAAACATTTCAGGATTTTCTCCATATAATGGACTTCAATGGGGACCAAACAGTTCAAGGTCCAAAAGAGAGTTTCAGTGCAGCTTCAAATGTCTTTAAACGACACCAGACGATGAATAAGGGTCTTATCATGCGAAACGATCGGTTATTTCAAAGCTTATTCCAAAAATGCAACTTTTCTAAGGACAAATGCTAGCCTTGCTGTATTCTGTGAGGCGCGTTTGTAACGTCACGTAATGCGTAATTATGTTCAAAAGGTCACGGGCGACGTAGCCGGAAGTACAGAGTCAGTGTTTACAAGTTGAACGCATAGGTTGAACGTGCAAACTAACTCAAACGCCGTTTACAAAAGAAAGGAATTAAAAGGTAAAACAACGATGTCGGACGATTTTGATTCTGTACTTCCGGCTACGACGCCCGTGACCTTTTGAACGTAATTACGTATTATTACTAGCATTTGTCCTTAGAAAAGTTACATTTTTGGACTAAGTTTTGACCGATCGTTTCGCTAGATAAGACCCTTATTCATCATCTGGTGTCGTTTAAAGACATTTGAAGCTGCACTGAAACTCTCATTTGGACCTTGAACCGTTTGGTCCCCATTGAAGTCCATTATATGGAGAAAATCCTGGAATGTTTTCATCAAAAACATTAATTTCTTTTCGACTGAGGAAAGAAAGACATGGACATCTTGGATGACACGGGGGCGAGTAAATTATCAGCAAAAAATTTTTAAAAAGTAAACTAATCATTTAATGCATTTGGGCATGCAGACACGATCAAGACAACCTGCTGAACGATCATGTCAGAATCCTTGAGGAATATTTCTATGCCACAAAAAAAGGGTCCAACCCAGTAATACGTAGCAAGGTGTACTTAATAAAGTGGTATAAATAAGTATAAATCCTATGACATATCTGCACATGAGATCATTCACCTTGTGTTTTACAGTAATGGACGTGCAGGCGTTTGAGAGGTTATTAGGCCCCTGCATGGACATCATGAAACGGAACATTGCGAATTACGAAGAGCAGCTGATCACGCTTTTCGGGAGTCACATGGCAATAGAGGAGCCGAATGCATGAAATCGGTTAATCAATAAACATCGCAAACTTTAAATGCAACATGAAATGATGAGAAAATGGTAAGTAGAGGTCAAGAAATCGTGTTAACACACTGTAGGTCATAAGCTTGAAGTTATTGTTTTGCATTCACAGATGTGAAACTCCGGTGTTTGTCAAATGATCATGATTTTTTTAGATGTGAAAAGCCAAATGGGAGCATTTTCCTCCAGGGTACACGTTTTTGGGTTTGGGGATTTGGTACTGGTGTGTTTATTCTAATCTCTCTCATTTTTTAACATGGTTTGTGTTTCTTTCATGTCACTGATGCTGCATCTTTTACAGTGACGTCCACGTAAAGACCGAATTGTTGCCATATACAGCACAGTGATATGTTCATTTATTCTTTTAAAGCTAAACGTCTGCATTTTGAAATCTACAGGTTGTCAATGTTTTCAGTGTTATGTAAGTCATTTTTGACTAAATTAATTCATGACTTCAGCAACTGAATGACACCCGTTACAGAAAAAGGAAGCCATTATGGACTGTTCACAAGAGAGTTTAAAGTGCCCCTATAATGCGTTTTTCAATATCACCGTTCATGCAGTGTGTGTAACAGAGCTGTTTGTGAATTTAAAAGTTCTTGTTTATCGAAATAATCGATTCTGAACTGCTGAAATGAGTTATCAGTGTCTCATTTTCTTTTACATTCCTAACTAACAATGTAACAAATTAGCATAATGCCAGCCAGCCTATGCTCTTCATTGGTTGCCAGCGAACAACGTCAACTTTGCCCCGCCCCCAAACACTGTAGTTGTGTCTGAGACTGAAAGAGATTGGTTTGTTTGTTGACATGTCGCTGTTTTCCACTTTAAAAGGTCGAGACTCGCTCTGGAATTGATACGGAAAACCGACGCCGTTGTTACTGTTTGTATCACTGTGTATCAAGGAAGCCTCCGGAGCTGAAATTCAGATATGGTAATCGGTGTTTAGTTTCCAACATGCACCAGCCAATCAGAACAGACTGGGCCGTCTGACCAATCAGAGCAGAGTAGACTCGCAGAAAGGCGGGGTTTAGAGAGACTTTTAACCATTTCACTCTCTTATATATTAAGAGAGAAAGTGTTTTTTGTAGGGATGCACGATCCCTACAAAATCGGCTAGCATATCGGTATTTTATATCGGCTAGCATATCGGTATCGGCCGATATATGTTCATTTTTAACGTTATCGTTATCGGCCTGGTAAGAAAATGTGGCCGATATATTCAAGCCGATAAATTATGTATTATTCCCTTCAGCTGAGACGCTGTTTTTGATTTTCCTGAAATATTATTGAAATCTCTTTAAAAAATGTGCATCATGTGCAGCGCAAATCTGTCATATCGTCTATACAACAGTATAATGAGAACATCATTATAATCGTGCGATTTAATTGTGAGACTTTTGTTTTTGTAATCAGACTCTCAAAATTAGATAAAAATTTGGATTTAAATTTATCGGCCGATATATCGGTTATCGGCTTTCAAATATAAAGAATTATCGGTTATCGGTATCGGCCAAAATTTTCATATCGGTGCATCCCTAGTTTTTTGACTGGATGCAGGTGAAACTTTTGTAGAAGACCTACAGAAAAATATCCGAAACCTTTAAAATAGCATAATGGGGCACTTTAACGTCAACATAAAACATACTTCAACAAAAAAAAAGTTTGTACATAAAAAAATGCCAATGAAACATGTTGTTTTCAGCTGATGTCACAAATGTATTCCGGTATGGATGTTTTTTCACCATCCAATCAATTCTGTTGGATAGAATCAGGCCCCAACCATTTAGTCTTGTTGAATATCCTATTTAAAGGTTGTATCAGCAATTTCAGGCCCAAACAAAAATGATCACGTTCGATCTGCTAGATGTGCGCCCCATAAGCAGTCTCTGGACAGAGAACCGCACGCAAAAACAAATGGGTACAACCACCACTCAAAATCAAAATAAACAGTGTTCTAACCAATCACCGACAGGGGCGGGTGGTGTTTGTTTTTGCGCTCGCTCACGGCGCCGAAGTCGCGAATCGAGCTAACTTGGTTTGTTTGGGATCTCGCTTCAGACACAAACTGAAGTGACAATCGCTGACACAACCTTTAACTGTAAAATGGTCTGCGAAATGTGTTTCTCTCTGACTTTAATGCTCGATTTTCATTACACAATATGACATAGAAATGCACAGACTCATTTACACAAAGAAATGAAAATGCATTTTGAATATTATTGCACTTTGATGCCGGTGTCATGACAGATCTACATGTTTTCAATTCCTTAGTCTTTTAGGGAAGCTCCTCATTGTCACGTATAAATAGTAGATATAGACATTGTGTACCTTTACTTTTAAAATGGTGTAGCAGATTTTTATGATTTGTTGACTTCTATTTTGTTTTTTAATAGTTCACGTTTAATTAAGATCGACATGCACAAATAGTATGTTCACATTTGTTTTCTAGCTCAAAAACGCACCAATGACATTTGCTTTAACTGAACGATTCCACGTTTTTCCTGTGTATATTTGTGAGTTTCTTTCTTTCTGTGTTTATTTTGTTTTTGGAAGCTTTTGGCATTTTGATGATGTGCTTCAGAGCACTTGCTTTATTGTTCATTTCTGCAGTATTTGGACACAGTTTTTCTCTATCTCTTGATGTATGAGAAGTTCAACCTTGTTGATACTTCTCAGCAAGTCATAAGCATTACTAGTATCCATTTCTTCCTAAAGCATTACTGAAGATTCATTACTGTCTACCTCTAATATAAACCGCTTAGCCACCATCATCACCTCTTTCCATGTAGATCCCCACGGGTTTGTCTCCTGGTAAACTAACCTGTAATGAATCCCTAAACCATATCTGTGTGTCAGTGTAACTTTACACAATTTCTACCCTGTTCATTGGGGAAATAAGACTTTTAATTGCTGATCAGTGCTCATTTCTGTCGCCTATAATTGAGAAGTCGCTAGTGCTTTTTATGTCCTGAAAAATGGATCAAAGGTCTACAGTCTCTTGGTGCAAGAGACTCCAGTATAATGTCAGTTATATTTGACTTTCCATTCAAATAAAGAACAATTTTGTATTTAAATCTTGTTGTGATTATTACAGCTAAATTGTGAGATTCCTATGTATTTTCACTTATGCATATTATGACCTCACGTCAGCATAGAAATGCCATCAAAACATTAAACTTCCTCACATGAATATGACATTTTTTGGGTCCATAACCTGCATGTATCCATCAATTTCACTTTAAATGAGTGTAATAAATCCAAATGAGAGGACCGATGTTGTTTTATGTTTGTTTACAACGTCTTCAGACGATATACATATCTCAAGACCCCTATTTTACAAAGAAGGAGGGTCTTTCGTAAAAAATGTGCGGTTTCAACTAATGAAATTCGCAGCTGATGTAACGGGCATGGAGAACTGGCCAATCAAAAACACAATAACAAACCCATCCATGTCTATCCCAGTGTCCAAGCGATTAGCCAATCGCGCTTCGAGCTCACCAAACTGACGTACGTCTCCACCAATGGGAGGCGAGATCTAAAAGTAATCGGTCCTGCCTTCGCGGAGAATGCCAGAGATACTCTGTAATGGCGACAGGTTTGGTAAGTAAAAAAGTTGTTGAAATATTACCATGAAATGAAACAGTAATGTCAATGAATTTCATTTTGCGTGACTATTTTAAACGGCGACGGTTGTGACTGCGGGGAGCAAAAAGACTGTCATTCATTTTTTCGATCGCAAATGACAACTTTATACTTGATTGTTTTTTTTCCCCCTCCGTGACGTTTGTTGTTTTGCTTGTGGTTAAGTAATTCTCAACCTCATCTTAGCGACAATAACTAAACACAACCAGTCGTGTTTTTTTATTAAAGCCAAGAAGAAAACAGGGTCTCCATTCATTACACTGGGGGGAAAGGAAGGACTTGATGTACCTTGTCTCAACTTGTTGACATTCTTTTGTTTACAGCTCCCACCATTGATATTTGAGTTCAGTTTTAAGCATTTATTTTCAGTAAATCTACGTGGATCAAAAGTCTCACCGCTGGATGGTCTGTATAAGATGTGTTTTTATTAAATACCGCAGTTGTTGATTCCTTTTTGGCGATTTTTTTCCAAACAAAGACCTTATATCGTTGCTATAGCCGTATTGAAGTTATTGTTCCCGTATTCAGTTCTAAAAAAAAATACATTATTCGTGCTAAAATATCAATTATAAACCAAAACACCTTTGCGTTTCCGTCCGTTTTGTTCGCGAAAGCAGAAAAATCTTATTTTCTTCCTGTGAAAAACTGAAACCGAGCAAAATAGCCTCAAATGAAGCTTTCCGCTCATAAACACGGACTCGTTTTCGATTGAATCGAACGAGGAGACTTCAATCTACGAATCTCAAAAGTCATGGTGAATTTTCTAGCGCAGTCTATCGCTGTTATTGATCCCCGTTGTTACGCAGTTATGAATGAATGAGCTCCGCTGCGCATGCGCGAAGTCCCTGAAAGTTTATAAACAAGCCTTGCGTGCAATGCGGGTCACGTGACTGCGCTTTACAGAAACGGACGGAGTGTGTTCGCAAAAAACAAAACACGCCAAAATCAACGACTCAAGCCTTTTAAATTCTCTCATTTAATACACGCGTGCTCAACGTGATCAACCAGTGGCCAAGAACATATTGCACAATACCCCACAGAAAAGGCTGTGTTTGTTTCTGTTTCGTTTCATTCATTCATTCATTCATTCATTCAAAAGTCTACATAATGCAAAAACAAACCCAAAGTAAAAGCAAATGCAAGTATGCTGGTCTGGAAATTACCTACCCTTTTTTCTTTCACTTTAACGCTCTATGGTACGCATTATGTTCTCCATGAAACATAGGAAAACAAAAAAAAAAATGGTCAAAAAAACTCATAAAATGTGTTTTTTATAAAATTACAATTTTCTATAAAATTAAAATTGCACATATCTTTTAGAAAATGATAGATTTGTATACTTGGAACTCAAGCAAACCAAAAATAAGTAGATCCCTTTCATTCCCGATCATTTGGCTAAATCATCCTCATTATCATCACAGCTAACTCTGCACTCCTCATATTGCCCTTTCAGTATTGCTGTATTCATTTTCTGAAATGAAGAAATCAATTTGTTATTTATACATAAATACAACTGTACTACAACAAAAACCTCAAATAAATAATAACTGCAATCATATTGTTGATGCTACTACATATACATTCCTATATTATAATAATCTATATACTGTATATCCCAATAGGGAAATACATTACTGAAATTCCATGGTATAGCATTTCCATATGGTAACATTGATATTTTCTCAATTTACAGTTAAACTATGTTAGAAAAAGTTGATTTGCGATGCTACAAAAAATCCCCCTTGAGAAGAGATTGGTTAATAGAGTGAAACGTCATGTGACTTAAAAACAGCACATCATTGGCTACCTGAAGCCTTCCCTTTGAATTGCCATAGTGCAATATATTGTATTTCTCTCTGAATAACAAGGAAATGTGTAGAAATGAATTGTTGTCATATGGCAACACCATACCATAGAGGGTCCAATCGCTTCTCTTGTATTTGCAGCCTTCTCAGCTGACATGTTATAATATGGTGTGGGAAGTGAAAACTCAGTCAGTCCCCCAGAGAGTCCAGCAAGTCCAGTCACAGAGCTCAGGAATGGACGAGGCCTTCGACCTGCTCAAGTGTAATGAGCGTCTGCCCTCCTCACCCGGCTGCCCTTCCAACGAGAGCCACATGGAGTTCGGTAATTAGCTTTAGCGCTTTAACCCTTGTGAATCCTTATGGACATTTTTGTCCTTTTCAGTTTTGTTTTTTTGATCACTTTGCCTGTGTTAAAGCTAACTGCAAAAAACTTGGCACAGGTGTGTATTTTTATTGGAATTTTACTATTTCACCGTCATTTTCTTAAAAAAATATTTTTTGCATTCGGTACAAAAAAATACAAAAATGTCCCCATTGAAACCCATCAAATCTGCCATTTTTAATCCCCGGTTCAGTTAACTATAAAATTATGCAATCTTTGTTAAAAGGGTTCAAAATTTTATTTTTTACTATTTTTTATCAGATGGTGCCATTTTTTTTTTTAAGTTTGGCCTATAAAACAAATATCGCTTTATTCCTGTTTTCTGCTTCGGCATATTATAGAGCCAACTGGATAAATTATGCAACGATATTTGTGTGGGTGTGTTGGTTTGGATGTCAGAGTGTGGTTAGTATGTGTGTTATAAAAAAATATGTGTGTGTTTGTAATACTGAGAGAGAAAAACTGCAAATTCAAATCCAATCACTGTGAGCTCCAGTGGGGTTTTGCTGCCACCCAATGGGGAAAATATGTTACTACGCCCAAACAAACTGTTACCGAAAGCTCATTTTTTGAGATATCATCCTCAAATTTGGAACACAACCTACTTAGATTCATGGCTTTGATTTTATTGCAGTTTTGAGTTCAACCTGATATATATAACGTTTTTTTGGATTTCCTTATTATTATTTTTTTACTTCAGCAATAATCTGCAAAGGGTCCTCTACCAAACTTAAGTCTGTGCTCCAAAGCATCACATTTTTATGACAGTTTTTTGACATGGTCATTTTTGTCCTCTTTTTACCTATGTGTAACTTTTTTAAATTGATGCACAAGGGTTAATATGTAAAAATCCAGTGCCAAAAATATTCAGATTACTTGCGTCTCTGCAGATGACCTGCCGGAGCTGCAGGAGGTGCAGGACGATCAGTCGACCCCTGGCGTGTTCCAGGTGGCCCCGGGTGTGTCTCATCACGAGGAGGAAGCGTGGAGCTCCAGCGTTTCACACACAAACTGGCTAACGGAGCTGGCCAACATCGCCACGAGCCCTCAAAGCCCCCTGCTCCAGAACGCCCCACACAACCGGTCAGGAGTTTATACACTCGCACGTTCATGGTAATCGTGCCGCTCAGGCTATACTGATGATGACGCGTTCTCATTGCAGGTCTTCTCCTGTCCACATCTTCTCCAGCAGTAGCAGTTTACATTCCTACGCTCGACCCCCTCTGTCTTCCAGCAGCGCCCCCAGTCCCGCCCGCAGCCACATGAGAGAGCGCCGGCGCACCAGGGTACGGCCGCGGGCCTTTCCAAACACAAACACGCATCATCAGGTGTAATGCCAAACTCATGTGCACATATCGAGGTCCAGAAATACGTTTTTGCCGCTCTTGCCAATGGTTAGTGAACCCAGGCCATGAAAATTATTTATATTATTATTAGGGCTGTCAATTAAACGCATTCTTAAAGGGTTAGTTCACCCAAAAATGAAAATTCTGTCAGTATTTACTCACCCTCATGTTGATCAACCCCGTAAGACCTTCGTTCATCTTCGCAACACAAATTAAGATATTTAAGATATTAAGATCGCTCCTGCATACTAGTCCATAGGCTTCTTGAGGGAATGACTCGAAAAGTCATTAAAGACATCGTTAAAATAGTCCAAGTGACTACAGGGGCTCAATCTTAACTTTATCAAACGACGAGAACACTTTTAATGCGCAAAAACAAATAAAAATAACGACTTTATTTCAACTATTCACTTCCTTCTCCATGAGCCTGTAGTCAGTTAGCGTAGTGCGTAAAGCTACGTCACACGTAGGCTCACTATTGGCCGACTCTGGTCATGTGTGTGTGATGCGTGTGACGTACAATAACAGAAGCTTACGCTATTAAACTAGTAACCTGACTCGCGCAGAGGGAGAAATAAACCAATAGTTGGAATAAAGTCCTTATTTTTGTTGTTTTTTTGTGTTCTCGTCATTTGATAAAGCTAAGATTGAGCCACTGAAATCACTCGGACTATTTTAACGATGTCTTTAATGACTTTTTGATGCCAGCAAGAGCCATTCCCTCAAGAAGCCTATGGACTAGTATGCAGGAGCGATCTTAATATCTTAAATATCTTAATTTGTGTTGCGAAGATGAACGAAGGTCTTACGGGGTTGATCAACATGAGGGTGAGTAAATACTGACAGAATTTTCATTTTTGGGTGAACTAACCCTTTAACGGCGTCATTTTGTTTTGTGCACGATTAACAGTCTTTTTTGGCCTAGCAAACTTTGTAGGTTTTTTTTCACATGCTTTTGCAACAGGACGCGCCATGCGCTTTCTATCATCATCAGTGTGAAAAACCACTATGGCCAAGCACACACACACACACACAAACACACAGCTGATGCGAATTCTCCGCCCCCTCGTCGGTATTTCTTTCACCCTTTTATTGATGGACAGTGTTACACTGTGTGAGAGATTATTTGCTCCAAGTGTGAACGTTAGTGTGAAATTGAACACAGTATATGACAAAAACATTTGCACAAAACAAGCCGATCCACTTTTCCATGTTGAAAAAAATAATGTGAGGAAAAGAAATCAAGAGACATTTAGAATAGATAAAAATGTGCGATTAATCGTGAGTTAACTATGACATTAAAGGAGTAGTTCACTTTAAAAAAAAAACTACTTTTGCTGATAATTTACTCACCCCCGTGTCATCCAAGATGTCCACGTCTTTCTTTCTTCAGTCGAAAAGAAATGAAGGTTTTTGATGAAAACATTCCAGGATTTTCTCCACATAATGGACTTCAATGGGGTCCAAACGGGGAGCACAAGCCCTCACACATCGCTCTGTGAGAAATACATGTTAAAACATCCCAGATGATATGCAAACTACATATCTTGGCTCGATAAAGCTAGTAAAGTTTCGACGGAAGACTATGATTGTGGCGACGTCTTGTTATATTGATGCGCAAACAAGCATTGTATGGACTAACACTACATTCATGTTGTTTTCTCACACATTCAGGATAATAAATGTAAAAATGTAAACAAGCTCTGTGATGTTGCACTGTACACATATCCTATACTGTCAATTCTTATTCTGTAATGTTTTTTTTTCATTGGTGCATAAATGTATGAATTATAAGGACTCCTTATATCACATTTGGTGTCCTTTTTTGTGAATCGTTTGAGTGAATCACCATTTAGTCTGATGGTTTCCTTTGCTGGATGACAAAATGAACGTGGTAAACAAGATAAACGGAGTACGTTTTAATTTCACAACATGTTTGCGATAAATTCCACACTTTTTGTGCTATTAATCGCAAACTTAAGCGTACAACATGTAATATTGTTACATTTTTATCTATTGACAGCCCTAATATATATATATATATATATATGATGAGTTCAGATGCAAAAGCCTCTAAGTGCCATTTGAAATTTTCTTCTAGAATGATGATTTTTATCAAGCTTGTATATTTAAGTTCAGTGATTTCACTTAAATGGCAATGATAATTACCTATTAATTGTTATTTAAGTGAAAATACTGAACTTAAATATACAAGTTTGATAAAAATCATCATTAAAGAAGAAAATTTCAAGAGGCTTTTGCATCTGAATTCTTCATATATATATCACACATAAATGTTAGGTCCGTCAATGTTTGGCCCAGATCTTGTACTGACAAGAAATGTAAAGCTACACACTCCAAAAGCATAATAATCACTCCAATAATGATCCAGTCATAGACTCGTATGCATCTGCCTGTTTAAAGCCAGACAGTGACGTTTTTTGCGAGTAAAGAGTAAATAGGATATAGACGTTTCAGGCTGTTTTCTGTGCGCTTCACAGGCCAGCAGCGAGTCGGAGTCTGGCATTTTCTGCATGTCGTCTCTGTCCGATGATGACGACCTGGGATGGTCCCATTCCTGGCCCTCCACTGCCTGGCATTGTTTCCTGAAAGGTAAAGACACACACAGATAAGGTATTGCCAATATAGTTATGGCAGTCATTTTATCAACGAGTGACTTGGAGAAGTGTGGTGAACAGCACCATCTGCTGGTACAAATGCAGATCAGCAGCAGGAGGAAAAGAGGGAAACGGGCCAGTCAACACACCCTCTTCCTTGCACTTTTATTTGAACAAAAGTGTATTTATTGATATGTGGGCATCTCACCAAACTTCTGTCACTCACTGTGCTGCCCCTCGTCGTCCTCTAGGAACACGTTTACGCTTCCACAAAGGTCCGAATGTGGAGTGGCAGGAGGCAGAGGACGTGATGGAGTCGGATGAAGATTCTGATGACGAGGGAGAAACACGGTCCAACCCAATGAAGGTAATCGTGTCCACATGAGCCCTGTAATTATTTCTTATATAAGTTATATATATCTTATATAACTTATTATATAATAAGTTACTACTTTGAAAAATCCTATTGCCAAAGTAATCTTTTGTTTGTTTGTCTCGCAGAGTTATGGCTGTGATGGCCTAAAGCTGGTGATCTTTGAGGAGAGTGTGTCTTTCGGTCAGTCTGTCCTGAAATTAACCTTTGACCCCGGTTCCCCTGAAGCAGGGCCTCTGACTGCCGAGTGCAGATTGGACCATCCGTTTTTTGTGAAAAATAAAGGTAAATGCAGAAGCCTGTATCGTAAACAGATCAATGTGATTTCAGAAGATTATTCTAACTGTGTGTGTGTGTGTGTGTGTGTGTGTGTGTATTAGGGTGGTCTTCTTTCTATCCGAGCCTTACCGTTGTACAGCACGGCATCCCCTGCTATGACATGCAGGTCGGAGACGTGTGTCTGCCGCCAGGACACCGCGACGCCATCAACTGCGACGACTCCGTCGTTTTTGACACTTTTAGGAGGTACCAGCGTTGTTATTGTGAACTAATCCTCCTGAATTGAAATAAAGCTGCAATAAAATATTACAAATATTTGAAGAAGAAAAAAAAAATGTTGCCTTGACAGCAACTGAAATAAAATTATTATTACTAAAATTACAGCTAAATCACATACATATGTGTTTGTTCCTTATTGTTTTCCTGCATCGTGTTATAATGAACGTAATGCATGTGTATCATTATTATTTTTACTATTATTTTGGTTTGATTTTGTTTTGTTTCTGGCTGGTTGTCTTTAATTGTTTTTAAGAAAAATGACAAAAGTACACAAAAATTTAATTTAGAATAAAAACTAAAAATTTAATTGAAATTATGCGAATTCGCATATATTCAAACATGACCGGTGTCCAGGACTGCTATTTATTTTTGCTATATATTTTTTTTCAGAGTTTTGTTTTATCAATTCCTTTTGCATAAACCATCTTCACAGTTACAAAGGTATTAAAAATATTTTTAAGATAATAATAACAATATCTTCGTAACTCAGTGACAAATAAAATAAATAAAGCATGAGATAATTAGTCATTTGAATATGCAATCATCCATTTTGATTGCACAAAATATACTAAAAGAATACAAAATACATCAATTGAAATTATGAATGAATATTATAATAGTATTTTTTTTTTATGATTTAACAGTCAGACATACAAACAAACAAACATAGTGCAGTAGTGAGCAATCTTGTAAATCCATAATTCCAGCAGTGACAAGAGTGATTTAAGTGTTTGATTTTAAGTGAAAATACTTATAATAGTATTTTTTTTTAAGAGCAATTTTTCATTCTTAGTTTATGTTAACCAATTTTAACAATTGTTACCAATATTCATTCTTTTTTCTTATTAATGGTAAGATTTTTTTGCAATGTGGTATTGGTAATTTTCAAAATATGATTTAGGAAATAAAATATGATAATAGTCTTATTTAATGTGATATATGACCTGATTTGATACTTGTTTGCAACTAGTACCTCGTTTAGATTTCCTAGATGTATCTTTTAATAATTTTAAAATAATAATAATAATAACATAGATGCATCGTTTCTGACATAAGAACTTTGCTTAAACTATCTTTTTCTTCTTCCTTTTTTGAACACATCAAGGAGGGGGAAAAAAGTAAAGAAATAAACGACTAATGAAATCAAATAACGATAACTGGCACACGAGGTCTTATGTGATCCAAGTACATTAATTATTTGTATGTAATCCCATTCCCTTGTTCTTCTGTAACCAGAGGGACAGGGTCATTGTTTCCATGGACGTTTAACATCTGGACTGTTTTCTCTCACCCACAGTTATGACTTCACTCCTCTGGACTCCTCTGCCGTGTATGTTCTGAGCAGTATGGCACGCCAGCGTCGGGCTTCCCAGTCCAGTGGGGGCGCTGTGAGCCCCGACTGCGAGGCCCTCGGCTCCTCCCACCACTCCACCAGCAGCAAATCACAGCGCAGCCACGCCTCAGGGAGCTCTGGAGCCACACCCACAAAGTGCAAGCGGCCAATGAATGCCTTCATGCTTTTTGCCAAGAAGTACAGGGTGGAATACACGCAGATGTATCCCGGCAAAGACAACAGGTGCGTCGATATGCAAACGAACACATGTTTGCGTTAGCTCTGTTCCAGAACCTAGTGAGCTAACACTGGCTCTGATATAATTGATAGGACACATTAAAGTTAATAATTCTTCTTGGGAAGTTTCATATACGTAAATCTAAATCTAATGTCTACAACACCCTCTTTTAATTTAATTCTTAAAATATTATATGAGCCAATTGTGCGTTTGAATTAAATTCAAGTGTATAAAAACATCTCTTATATTGAAAAAAAAAAATTAATGTTTAACTCAATGTAAGATATGTTTAACTTAAATTTTTCAAGTTTAATGTTAAATGTTTAAAAAAAAAAAATAGTACAGCAGACATAAAAAAAAATAAAATACATAAATAAACCTAGTGAGCTGTCCCTACATAGGCAGCATCCAAACTAAAATAGGACAAAATAGTACATTTTCGTAGAATAAGAAACAAAAAACAAACAAACATTTGGCTAAAACGAGGATATTATGTGACGTAAGCAAGCTCCTACCCAGTTCTGAAGTGTCCAGTTACATGGATAAAAGATGTTTCATTACAGATGTTTCTCATTTCCTCAGAGCCATCAGCGTGATTCTGGGCGATAAATGGAAGAAGATGAAAAACGAGGAAAGGAGGCTGTACACCATGGAAGCCAAAGCTCTGGCCGAGGAGCAGAAACGACTCAACCCTGACTGCTGGAAACGCAAGAGAACAAACTCGGTTAGCATTAGCGCTAATATCGTGAATCCGTTTTTGAACGATAACGATAAAATTTGACTTACCTTGATTTTATCGCTATAGAGAGCCTAAGTCCCGCCCCTCCGCTTCCGGCTCATGGGACCTTATTTCGGGAAAAATATGAATGGTAGTCAATGGCTACTATTCCGTCTGAACTGTGCCCTCAATTACACATATGATGTTTGTCAATTTAAAAGATAATTCTGAAAGTCAAAAACGTCGCAGTTTGTCATAAAACAGAAGAGTCACATTTAGTTTTATGTGAACTACATCTCCCAGGAAGAGAAACGAGATCCGCTGCTCGTGTGTGTGCAGTCTGATACAACACACTCGTTTATAAACACGATTATAACGTAAGACTGTAGAAACAATGACAGACGTTAGCCTCAGTAAAGTTAGCTTCATTCATTGGGAGAAAATGTGCGCCTTTGGGGTTTGTAGTCTTTGTAATTACGTATTTTCACAGTCTTATACCTCAACGGTTTCACATCAAACTGCGACTTTCTTGACTTTAAAATGTATCTTTTAAATCGACAAACATCATATGTGTAATTCAGGGCACAATTCAAACCAGATCAAAATATTTGTTGTCTCTCGCCATCGACTACCATTCAATATTTTTCCGAAATTGGTGGTCGACCGGAAGGGGAGGGACTTAGGCTCTCTATATCCAGTGTCTCTTAGGTCATTAAGAATATTAAATTGTTCGTTAAATCACATTTCTCTCCATTTCGCTAGGGCTCTCAGCAGAACTAGCCCGAGGATCGTCACGAAAACACGAACTGGACAGCAGGAGACGGACACCGATACACATTCTCTCGAAAGAATGATAAACCGCAACTGTGATGCTTCACGCACTTGCTTTAGGGGGGAAAAAAAAACAAACAAATCAAATTTGCTAATTACAACGAAACATCTTCGCAAGAAGAAATACATTTGAAAAATATATGAACGATAATATAATTATATGGGATATATAAAAAAAAAAATGTAATCTAGTCAACTAACAGTGCTTGTGTATTTTTCTTATCCTTTCAAAAATGACGAAAATGCCTTACTTTTCCAAAGCAAGACAACGCTCAGTTCTTCTATCAGGTAATTTCGTATTTCTAGGCTTGAAAGGTGCAACCCTGTGGTGCTATTTTACTGAGGCCGAGGAGCGATATATATATATACATACAAATAATGTCTATTTTTCAATGTAAAAAGGGGAAATTTAGATCTTAGCTTGTTTTTTCAGCAGTTCATATTAATTATATTTGTATAACTCAACTTATTGCACAGACTCAAATGTATTGCTAACAGACGAATGCAGTTGAACTTCGTATTCGTCGAGGTGCTGGAAAAAGGTTGAATTTGATATGACACCAGTCCAGCCTAGGCCATAATCAGTGTGTGTGTGTCTGCGTAACTGTGAGCAGGTGTGTGTGTGTGTATCCATAATGGCCATATTGTACATGGATCGAGTCCCACACGCACGCAAGCAAGTACAACGACACACATGTTGTCACATACAGCACTTCAGGGCCATGCCTTCACTGTAAGTGTTCTTGTTTTTGCACTTTATATTCAAATATATCCTTATACAACCAATAAATGTATACAAGCTGAAATGATGTGTAAAAATATATATATATCTTGATAAGATGTATCCTTTGACACAATCATGGCCAAACTGAGCAACGGAGTGTTGTGTTTTGTGTTTGCCATTGGATTGCATTACAAATACATTTATGTTAATATTGTACAGGTCAGCGTTCCCATCCATTTCTTGCACAAACTATTCTTGTATCATATTATAAATAAAATTTTAAACTCGCTACCCTACACATGTGCACCATTTCTTTTATGTCTCCTGACATTCACTACACTTACTACCAGTGTTGTGCCTGAACGCGTTCATATTTTGGGCAACGCACTGTATTACTGCCTGATGAACGTTAATATGTTTTAAATTGTTAATAGTGTCCAGCAGAATAGTGTGGAATCATGGGTAAGTGCTCTTACCCTGCCCTGCAGTGAGGTGGCGCTGGCGTCACCCCTCGGTTCATTCAAGGGTGTCATCATCGTCCACTGACACACATCAGCGCACCATCTCATTGGTTCTGTCCTATCAGTTGCACAAAAGTACATTATTACTATTATTATTTTTTCTTAATAGTCTTTTCTTTTTTTACACAATCATGATGGTAACTCTGGTATATTATATTATATTATCTATCTTCTATCTATAAATTACAGGAACGTTATTCGCATATATATTCAAACTTGACCGGTTTCCAGGACTGCTATTTATTTTTGCTATATATTTTTTCAGAGTTTTGTTTTATCAATTCCTTTTGCATAAACCATCTTCACAGTTACAAAGATATTAAAAATATTTTTAAGATATAATAACAATATCTTCGTAACTCAGTGACAAATAAAATAAATAAAGCATGAGATAATTAGTCATTTGAATATGCAATCATCCATTTTGATTGCACAAAATATACTAAAAGAATACAAAACACATCAATTATTTTACTGTCAAAAAAACATTTACCATTGATTATCTTTGACTAGGGTTGGGTACTATGGTTGGGTATCGAGAATCGAGTATCGATTGGAACCGGGACTAACTTTTCGTTTTTCCCGGAATCGTTCAAAAGTTAAAATTTCGATTCCTAGTTTCGATATTCACAAAAAAATAATAATAATAAAAAAAAATGTTTCGATATTCACAGTCCGCCGAGGGGAAGAAGAAACCGCTGAACAACACCAACGAAGAAGCGTCTACCGGAAGTGTTGGCATAACCACGCGAGTCGAACATGAGTAACTTACGTTGGCGATCCATGAAGTATTACTCGACAGCATCAGAGGTGGGTGTATGAACTTCTTTACTCGGGGTTCACATGTTCAACATAGCATACACTTCCGGTACACGCACACAGCGTCTTACGTACATAGTATTACGTAGACTATCACAACATCCCCCCTGTTTAACATAAATGTGTAAACACGTCAGACAACTAATACAACAACAAAATTGGTTTAACATAAGATTCTTAACAAAAATATGTCAAGCTTTTTTTTTTTTCCCAATAGGGTGCACATTCCAACAATAATGAACAATAACAACCTGTTTGGTGGTTATATGTGCAAAATAAGCATTCAGTCCATATTTGGTATTCTTTTTACTGCTTGACTATTAATTCAGCTTTACACATAGTCCCTGTATTGCACTGGCTTGACAATGATCCGTCCAGACCTTGTGCATGTTGGTCTTGTTGTCTCAGTACCTGTATTGTCTGCTTTTGTTTCAAGAGGTTGTGTGATTTTGTTTTCAACTGGATTATTGTGGCTTTGTTCAACCACATCTCTTTTGGGTGTTTCAGCGAATTGTACCTTTTTCTGGACTTTCTGTGTGTGTGGTACATACATTTCACGGAGTTGGCTCCTAGTACGTCTGACTGTGTTTCCATTTGGTGTTTGGATCAGGTAACTTCTCGGCTCCTTGCATCTTTCCACAATAGTACCTGGGTGCCATGTTTTCTTCTCTTTGTCCAGTACTCTCACACTCTGTCCACGAAACAATGGTGGTAAGTCTTTGCCACTACATTGATCATGGTGTGTTTTCATCTTTGTAATCCCTTTTTCCAGGTGCTGTCTGTGTTCAAGTTTACCTGGATCTGAATGACTTGGTAGGAGTGTGGTGATTGGTCTGCCAAGAAGTAATTCTGCAGGGGATGGTAAATCACTGTCAATGGGTGTCGCTCGCACCTGCATCAGAGCCACTTGTACATCTCCTTTGTGTTGCATTGTTTTTTTTATGATGGATTTGATGTGTCTCACATGTCTCTCAATAAATCCATTGCTTTTTGGGTAGTGTGGTGAACTTGTGATGTGTTCTATTCCCCAATCAGCTATGAACTTCCTGAAAGACTGTCCAGTGTACTGTGGTCCGTTATCTGTCATTATTTCATCTGGCCGACCAAATAAAGACATGTAACTTTGCATTTTTTGTGCAACTGCATGGCTACTTACTGGTGTGGGCATTTCATCAACTAATGGGTACTTGGAATACCTGTCCACGGTAAGTAGGTACTGATGTCCATGGATCTCGAATAGATCTGACGCCAGGTATTGCCATGGCTTTGTGGGTGTTTTGTGTGGAATGAGAGGTTCCTTTGGATGTGCATCTTGATTTTCTGCACAGGTACTGCAAGATCTGCACAGTTTCTCAATGTCTGTGTTTATCTTTGTCCAATACACACTTTCTCTAGCCAACCTGCGTGTTTTTTCGATACCTTGGTGGGCTGCGTGGAGTTGAGTCAGAATGTCGCTGGTCATGGATTCTGGGATAAGCACTTGTCTGCCCTTAAATACAACTCCGGCTTCTATGGCAAGTTCATCTCGGAAAGGCCAATAGCTGCGTAGGTCTTTTGGCAGGTCTTGAATTCTGTCCGGCCATCCCTGATGGATGATTTCTTTTAGCGCACTGAGCTTGGGGTCTTTTGCAGTCTCAGTTCTGAGAATCTCCTGTTTGTTTGGGGAGAAGTTCACAATTGCAACAGTATGATGCTCAGGGTCTTCAAACTCTGTATCCAGCCCATCAATGCGTTCATCAAGTTCAATGTCTTCATTGTTTTCAGGGTTTGGCAGGCGGCTGAGAGTGTCAGCTAGAATCATTTGACATCCAGGACGATACACGATGCTGTAATTGTATCCCTGTGTTTTGATCAGCATGCGTTGTAGCCTGGGAGGAGCAGCATGCAGAGGCTTTGTGCATATGGTGACGAGAGGTTTGTGGTCCGTTACTACGATGAATGATTTGCCGTACAAGTATGTGTGATATCGCTGCATACCATACACAATAGCAAGCATTTCTCTTTCAATGTTGCTGTATCTTGATTGACATTCTGTTAATGTCTTCGAACCAAAAGCAATGGGCCTGTTGTCTTGCACCAGTGCTACACCAATGCCTCTCTGTGATGCATCTACCTCCAGTGTGAGGGTGGCTGCTGGATTGTAGTACTTCAAGCAAGCATCAACAGTCACTGTTTTCTTTAGGTCATCGAAGTATTGCTGATACTCAGTGTCCCATACCCATTGTGAGTCACTTTTTAACAATCCTCTCAGATTATGAGCTTTATCAGCAAACTTTGGTATGTAGGGTGACAGGTAGTTTAACATACCCATGAATCGATGAAGGTCATCTTTGCTTTGTGGTGTTGGCATTTTTTGTATATCGTGGATTTTGGCTGGATCTGGTCTGATGCCTTTGTCTGTGTACAGGTTGCCAAAAAAGGATATGCTCTGCTGTTTGATGATACATTTGTCACTGTTAAACACCAGACCTGTTTCTACAGCTCTTTCCATCAGGCTTGTCAGATTCCTGTCGTGTTCCTCTTCGTCAACTCCACAAACTGCAACATCGTCTGCTATGCTGATTACACCGTGAAGACCTTCAAGAATTTGGTCCATTTTGGCTTGGAAAAGGTCTTGGGACACACTGAGACCAAATGGTAAGCGTCTCCAGCAGTATCTGCCAAAAGGAGTGCGGAACGTGGTTAGAATTTGGGACTCCTCATCAAGATGTATCGACCAGTATCCGGCTTTTGCGTCCAGCTTGCTGAACACTTTTGCATTTGCAAATTTGGGGTTAAGTTCTTCCACAGTTGGAATTTTGTGAGGGCACCTCTTCAGGCTTGCATTTAGTTTCTGAGGATCTAAACAGATTCGAAGTGATCCGTCTTTTTTGGTGCTGAAGGCAAGACTAGAACACCAATCTGTGTGCTCTTCTACTTTTCGCAGGACTCCTTGATCGACAAGTTTATTCAGCTCATTTTGAAGTTTGTCCTTGATGTGGATACTGCATTTGCGTGGTGGGTCAATGAATGGATTAGCACCTTCCTTTAGGATGAGCTTTGCTGTGCCGCTGAAACTGCCAATTTTATCAAACTGGTCTGGGTATTTCACTTGCAGTTCTTTGATGCCTTTTATGTGTTGTTGGGTACTCACTTCTGTTTGTCGTCCTTCATGTCCATTGTTTTCTCTTTCAGTCATCACATCAACATTTACTGTCACAAGGCTGAGGAGCTCACTTGTGGGTAGTCCAACCACAGCTGGTCCAGGTACGTCAACGACATAGAACTTTGCATCTATCCATCTGGACTTTTTGTGCTGGCATGGCATGTTGATGGTTCCAAAGCAGGGGATCACATCACCAGTGTATGACGTCAATTTTACATTGGATGCTGATTTGAGATGTTCCATGCTTTGTGGTGATGCACCATACATCTGTTTGAATGTACGCAGTGGAAGCGTGTTTCCAGATGCCCCTGTATCTATCTTCAGGCGAAGCGTGTATCCATGTCCTTGCAAGAGAGGTGGTTTAATATTCAGAGTTGTATATGCCTCATCTCTAGGTGGTTTCACATGAATACTATGCATGCATTTTGCGCTGATGGTGATGGAGTAAAAGTGTTGTTGGTATGTATACTCATCGTCTTTAGTGCTGTCTACAGTGCTAATGCTGGACTCGTCTTTGCGTTTGTGGTCTTTCCATGGGTGAGCGTGGCTTTGGTATCTGTTGCGTGTTCGTGACTTACTTCTTCTACCCTGGCTGGATAGCTGTCTCTGTCGTCTGCTCTTTTTACAGCACTTTGCCCAGTGGCCTCTGTTACCACACATAGAGCACATATCGTTGTATGCAGGGCACTGCCTTGGCTTGTGGTTTGTGTTGCAGTTTTGACACGTTCGTCCTCTTGTTACAGCATGGACATTTTCAGTCTGTGACATACCAAGTTGTTGTATCTGTTCATTACCAGCTGCTAAGGCTTCA